TGTTGTAAGAAATCTGATGCAGTGCATGGTCATTCAATTTTGTGGTGTTATTTGGATTCAAGGTCCACTTATTGGAAAAAGAAACCAACATTGTCAGCTATTAAAACATTTTGTGAGTCATTTACAAAATTAATGAGTGCATATTGCAAGAAGTATGTGTCATGTAAACCCTGTGTTATTTTGAAAATTGTGATTAAAGTTAATTCATTTAATTAAATCCAATTTACTTTCACAAATAATTGTCAGTTGCAGAACAACAAATTTCCAGTTACTGTACAGAAACAAACATTAAGTTTCAGGTTCAAAGTAACTCTAAGTATATCATGCACACCATAGGAGCTACAAACATATACCTGGAACCTTGCTGACTCTAAACACATAACAAATTATGACATCTGCCTATTGAACTGGGACAATTCCTGAAACTACTGAAGAAATAGCTAATTGTAAAACATCTTAACGCATGCATTATCTCTGTGGCCAGAACATTGCAGAGGTAACAGTGCAAGTTAATTCACTCAACCTGAAGTCTTCATTCCCACCAATGACATTGTTAGCAGGCACTCTTATAGACAAAACAGTGAATATTTATGCACTTGTTTGAAATAGCTGATTATGACATGGGTTATATCTTCATACTTTTCTCCATTTTATACTTGATCACTGATATCCTAATTTGATCTGTTTATGTAAACAACGTATCATACATCTCATATCAGACATGGATCTTGGACATAACTTTCCGACAATAATTCAGCAGTGTGCAGCAATTAATAAAGCTTTCTCAACAAATACTTATTCCTTATAGCTGATATTCAGCATGTGTGACTACAGTTCCTCTAGTGCAAACCACCCTAAACCTTGCTACTCACAAGCTATCGATGGTCTGATACTGTTCTCTTGTTTCATAAAATGGTCAATTTACATCCCAGATAATGATATTTGTCAATATTTTGAATAACAAAACAAATTTCTGATACATAAACTTGGCATGTGGACCCCTGCCATACAGTCTCAGTGTCAGCTAATGACTGCTCTTCAATGAAAAAGTGTTACAATAGTCACCACAGGATATATAATTATATATTTTGACATATGATGACCTGCCATCATATGTCATGATATGTATTTCATAAGTGTACCAGAAATAAACATTTGTTTTTAACTGAGAACAAATTTCTGCAAAATTCAATTTGTAATAATAACTTTAAACTCATTAGATAAGGGTGTGTAGAAAATCACTTAATCCTATTGTTTTCTTTGTAGGTTTGTTGTTAATACATTCCCACATAAAGCAAAAGAGCCCTTAACTTGGAACCTAATCAACAGTGATAATAATTCGTACCTCTAATACTTGATTGCACATTTCCTGAAAACTTGCATCTGAATCCACAGGTTTAGCTTGAATAAAAATCTAGAAGTCCACGGTATTGTGTTGTCTTTATTCCTAGTGGCCCTTCAAGCACTACCTATAGGAGTTATCTCCCTTAACAGAAGCACAGAAAACGTCATAAGTTTTCCTAGGGTACCTTAAGGAGGGTACTTTCTGATTTTGGGGGAGGGGGATACTTCAAGTCATATAAGGCAGATGTTGAAGTTCTGACTGCATAACAGCTGAGGAAACTCCTTGTGCAAATGTGTAAGTGCAGCTGCTCCAAGTTGCGATTGAATCTGTCGGAAGTGTTGGTCGAAAGAGGCAGATGTATTGGTTGATCCACCAGCAAGGAGAGGATATATGGAAATCACGAGCGTGTCAGCCATCCTGGTGCCACTAGATACAATGTTATCTGATGATTCCTGACCTGGGCTAGGACTTGTGGGATTGAAATGTCAACGGTGTTGATGGAAATGTATATGCAATAATGTCTTCACAAGAAGTTACCATGAACCCTTTCCTGTATCCCTTTGAATGAGACTTGGGCATGTCTCTGCTATCCTGTCGGATATCCATTCACCAGAACAAACCTTCTGTGGGCTCTGCATGGCCTGCTTCCTGCAGGGCTCCTGACAATAGCGATTACTCTGTTAAAGTCTGAGTTACAATGAGCCCTGTGGAACTTAAATATCTTCCCCTGACTTTAGGACTTCCAAGAGCTCTTCAAATTTCCCATTGAAGAGCTGATCAGAACAGGGCTGTGAATACAGCATGATGCAAATGATGATTCCTCCTTCACAATATAAATTCTCCCGCCAGATTCATTAGTAAGGACTGGGAATAAAAACAACAACTTTGCTGCCAATACCAATGCTTTATCCTTGAATATTGTTTATAACCTCTGATTCTCCTTTTCTTGATGAATAAATAATCAGGTGTTTTAACTGCAAATCTTTGAAATCCTTTATCAAGGGAAGGTGAATTGACTGGTAAATCTCTGTTATCAGTCGCCTAAAAGTCTTTTCCTTTAAGAGAAGAACAGCCCAAATGATATGGACAATTGAACGAAAGCAACCTCTCGTTCAAATCCTTGATGACCTAAGACTGGAAGGATGACTGAGGTAACTTGGGCTTAGCTTTGGTGTTGAAGACAGGAGCCTCTGAATTTCCAATTGGCAAAGTCCTCTTGAACAGGTAGAAGTGGAATTGACTCCACAAATGGGGCATCTTGTGCTACCAACTTGTCCTCAAATGTGTATGGTTGAGTATTCCCTTCTTAATTCTACAGATGTAAAATCTGAATCCTCTGAAGCATCTGTAACATGCTCTGTATCACTCTGAGAAGATCGTCTACAAATATTCGTATCTTGGGATGTAGGGCTAATGGCCATGAGTTCCAAGTTGCCCTTGTTCCTTATGGAGCTTGTTCTGCACATATGCTGTCTGTTATGAAAACTGCCTCAGCTGCCTGTGTGGTCTGTGTGGCCCGCACTAGAATATCTCCACACATGCACTGTTATCTCAGATTCCGTTGTCTCTGTTACGATGTCCTCCAACAGGATCAGCTGAACTCCTACAAACCATGGGTTCTGGGTGGATCGAGCATGACTTCTCCTTGATGACCACTCACTGAACTATCAATACACGTTTGGTCTATTAGATCAATCTTGTGGTCCATGCCTTGTGTCTCAGGGTAAACTGCAGCTGGTATGGTACATAACTTATGCTCCAGCCTCAATGGCTCTGATATGAGGAGGAGGAGGAAGATCATGGACAGGCCTACCAAAGAAAACTTTCCCACTGTGCAGAAAAACGCAGAAAAGCCCACATTAATCGTGGAAATAGCAACAAAAACACAATACCTCGCTACTGAAACAGTAAAAACGGCAACTTTAAATCGCTAACACTGCATCGTAAAACGAGGACCCTGCAACTTCCATTTTACGCATGCGCACATGGAAGAGGAAGTCTCGACCGCATGTTGACATTTTCCAGCTTGGACAAAAGTTACATTCCTGTTTAAGTATTTCTGTTGTGTTATTTGGCATTTATAATCATGATACTTGTGTGCACACTTGTTTAGTTTACTTTCCATTCGTATGAAATGATTGGCATCAATTATTTCGACATATTTAATACTTTTTCTACGCAAGGCGATTCACGGTTGCTCGGAAATTGGAAAGAAGCCTGGATTGTAATGCGCCTGCGCAGTAGAGGTCAAAGTTCGCTGATATAAAATTGTTGCAGTTTCATAGTTTTTCGTTGCCGTTTTTACTGTTGCAGTAGCGAGGTATTATGTTTATGTTGCTATTTCCACGGTTAATGTGGGCTTTTCTGCGTTTTTCTGCACAGTGGGAAAGTTTTCTTTGGTAGGCCTGATGGACATCACCTCTATCTTGAGACAGCACTGAAATTCGATCCACCAACCCTTTTATTGCATCTCCAAAAGGCTGCAGAGCTGCCTCTCAGATTAGGCTCCCTCAGTATCAGGCCACTGGGGTCAGCAGGTGGACCAAGTTCCAGGATCAGATAGGACAGGAGGGACACCTAGTTCTGCAGGGTCCAAGTGATTCTCTATTATCAAAAATTCTCAAATTCTAAAAAAAAATGAGCTTATAAGTGCTTCTGTTAGGGGAGATAACACCTGTAGATAGCACTTGGAGGACCACTAGGTATAAAGGCAACACAAACAACATTTCACAAAAAAGGCAAGCAAGTGTTACAAGGACATATTCATCAAAAGTGTAATGGCTGAATGTTTGGGAATGAATAAATGCAGAATTTTATAACAATTCATTTTATAAGAAAAAAACAACTTTTATGTTTTCAATTTCTCGGCACAGTTCCCATACTATCTTTGGTGCGAAACCCCAAGCCTAGTCTGTCATACAGACCCTGAAGCAAATATATCAAAGAAATCCCATGCAAGTCTAGAAAATGTGGCAAGTCTAGATTTTCACAGAAGAAAGTCTCAGGGCTCCTTTTTATTATATTTTGATTTTTTTCACTATGAGCCTTTTTCTGTAAAATATGTTCATTTCAGAGATTAGTTGTTAGTCCACCCTATGCCTTATTTACGGGTGTGACGTATATTATGACGTCATATGCACACGTCATCTTTGCCTTTTTTGTAGTGCTGCTCAGTTCACTTCACTAGGCCGGCTTCGACGCTAACTCACATCTCTGCACAGGAATTTTAAATTTTCACATCGCATTGTGAGTACAACCAGTCTTAGGTTATTTCAGCTGGTGTAGAGCTCTAGATTTAATCTAATATTTCTAAATATCAGTGAAATAGGTATATTCCCACCCCACCTTTGTGGCCTATTTGTTATATATATCTCATTATTACGATAATTATATTTTCATTAACAGTTAATAAACATTGTCCGCCTTGTGCGGGCCTATACAACAACAATCCATGTTGTTATGATTCGCCACAAATTAAACTAGACGTTCTCGGTTGATACTAGTTTTGAGTATAAAAACACATATATCATTTGACTGATTAAGCATACCACCTATTAAAAGCACCCAAATTATTCTTATCTAGTCTGACAAGTATTATACTATAAACATTATACTATGAACATATTTACATCTTCATTTTGGATATTTTATTAGGTGTTTTTTTTACATTATTGATTCTTTATCAAGCATTTGATGCATTTTACAATTTTATAAACATCAGAATCTAATATTACAGAGCACTGTCATAATTTTTTATCTGAAGCCATTATATCACATTGCATTAATGCATCACAGCTGGTATGTGTAAACTGAAAATAGGAACTGTTATTATTGTCAGTTTGTACACTATGAAATGAAATAAATCACTGGATTGTCTGCTCCAAACTTGATTATTGACAAACCACTGTCATATAGCTGGACAATTTCTGAGTGCAGAGTTAAACAACAAACAAACATATTTACACCACTGTCACTTCACCTTTGACATAAAATACATATTTCACAGAAGAAAACAAGTTCAATGTATCAAGGCCTATAGTATTGTCATGCTGCATGTTGCCTCTACCACATTAGATGTAATCTGAACTGCTGAACAGCTGATGACCATACAAAGAATTTCTGTCAGACCTGGAATTCCAAATCTTAAAAGGCCAAGAAGCTTAACTCTTTTCTTATCAATGTACATACATGATTTCAAGGTATTGTTCTGTTTTAAGACCAGAGACTGGAGTTTACCAAAGACAAAGTTTCCTATAAGATATATAATTATAGAGAATGAACACAACGTTTGCGGTGGGTCATGTGCTTGATCATAGTTGTAGTTGTCTCAGAAATATCAGTTCCATACAACCAAGCTGGAGCCACTCTGAACACAACTGGATCCATTCCATTCTCAAACACCAATAGACATGATGGTTGTGCCTTCACTAGAGTCACCACTGGGGCTCTGTGATAAATATACTCCCAGACCAACTGCACCCGCTATGAGAACAAGTATAGAGAGTATGAACACTGTCCATCGAATGGCTTTCCTTCTGCAAGACTTCTTCTTCCTTTCACTTCTTCCATAAGTATCTTCTGGGAGCTCAAGTATAACATCACTGGAGTCATTGATGTCAGACATCTGTAATGTTAAATTAGGCAACTATGTATAGGATTCATTATAAATGTCTCTGACAATCAGAACACATTCACTCTCAAACAGTCATTGTTTCTATGACTTCTTGAGGCACTAGTAGACTGTGATCTGTATAGTGCCTAATGAGATGTTTTGCATGACTGTGATCTTTATTCTCCCTACCTGATACTCAAGAATGAAAACAACCTTTAATGAATACAACTATATAAACAACACTGATTGATATTTACTTGAATGTACAATAACAAATTCCTAACATTGTTACTACAAAGAATCAGTGTTGTTTGGACATGTTAAGTCTTGTTTATTTCTGAACTTGAAAAAAGGATTTAATATTTAATAATTGTATGATGAATGTTTGAGGGCAATCCCCCCATGCAAGGGCAGGAGCCTATACATAAGATATATCCATAAGAATGACGCCCTAAAAGTATCAGCCTTTCTGAAGTTGGATGAATAATTGTGTAGAGTCTGTTGTTTGTGAGTGTCCCCATCCTCATCAGTGGAATATTGCAGACATATTGTTTTAGTATTTCAAACATTCATACGAAGTAAAGTGATCATCAATCAATAAAGTATCTGAGAAATTGTATAATGATTTGAAACCTTTAATTTATCCAGCAGAATAAAGTGTGCTCCAAGCTTGTGTGGTTAAATGCAATGATAAAATGTGCTCCAAGCTTGTGTGGTTAAATACAATGATAAAGTGTGCTCCAAGCTTGTGTGGTTAAATACAATGACAAAGTGTGCTCCAAGCTTGTGTGGTTAAATACAATGATAAAGTGTGCTCCAAGCTTGTGTGGTTAAATTAGTAACAATGATAAAGCTTCCACAAGTCATGAAGGACCAATAACCGTAAATCATCTAACTGATACATAACCTTGTCTCAGTACTTGCTATGTGAGGATGTTAGTCATGGCCAAAGTCTCACCGTGTTGGGCACAGCAGCATGGGATGCTGATGTCTCCCCAGAGGTGGTAATTACTGGCAGAGTTGTCTCCCTGGCTTGGTCAAGATATTTCTTCAGATATGCTGGTGTGTTTAGATCAGGAACCTGAAAAGGAATCATAAATGTTTACTGTAACTGTTTTTTTTCACAATAATAATTAATCAGTCTAGTACCTACTGAAACCTGATAATAATGTTAGATCTATTATGTGATGTGGTACATTACCACATACCTCAGCAATAAGCTTCAAGTGTAAGTTAGGCTGGCGCCTGACTGCAAAGTTCTTGAAGTAGATGAATTGTTTTTGGGCTGGATAGGGATATTTGCATGTATCTTTCCACCTTGGTTATTCTTAGAATTCTGAGGAAGATCCAGAGCCATTCTCAAACAGCCAGGCAGACCATTGTTCCCTACACTGTCTCTGTCACACATTTTTGTGGAAGTGGGTTAGATGGCTGACTTTGAGTGCTGCCGATTAGGTGGGTTTGAATCCTGAATGGGTCTCAACCCAACAAAGGTACTTGAATATGTACTTTACTGAGAAAGTGTAATCCCAAATATAACATGTTACGTTTGACCACTTTCTAAACAGCATTGTCAGGGTATGAAACTCAATTTCAGCCAGACCACAGGGCTGGTTAGATGTACTGAAATCGATATCAAACCCAAACATAGTAGACAATTTGAGTTTGGTAGATAGACTGACTACTTAAGTTGTTTGATCTTTTTTTATTTTAAAAATGCAGTTGAGTTCAAAATTCAGCTGTTTCAAAAAATTGTCAAACTCAGTTTGAAATTTGAGTAAAAACTTAAGTTTGTTTCGAGAAATCGGGGCCAGATGCTCATCATTTCCTGTCTTAAGAAGTGCAGAAGTCAGAAAATCACCTCTTTCCAAGTTTGACATTGCACGTCCTGCAGGAAAAATTATAGATGGAGCACTATAGGTATCTTCAGTCACCTACCTTGCGGCATAACTCTTCTTGTCAATCTAAAGTCCATAGACACTCAATTCGGCAATTATGTCAATGCATTCAGCATAGTGGCCGCCCAATAGTAATGACCCAACGTCAAGACTGATGGATTCGAACCACCGACACATTCCAACACAGGTTCCAGCCAACAACCCTTAATGCCCATACCTTACCTAGCATCAGTGTGCTCTGGTAGTGGATGGATTTTAAAGTGGGTGCGTTATGATCTGGGATGGGAGAACAGCTACAGCAAGGTCTTCAGTGATAGTAATTGAGAGGAATTAGAATGCTGTGAAGGTACAAGATTTTGCAAATAGCCACTTTACTGTTTTTGGAACAGAATGGCTCTGGAGTGATACTTTAATATGATAATGCCAGACCACACGTTGCTTGAGTTGCACAGCAGTATCTTCATCAGAACACTGTTCAAGTGTAGCCTGTCTTTCTGGACATGTCTAGGATGAAATAGAGCAATGTTTATGATGTCATCAAAATCCACCAACAACACTGCTTCAACTTCACCAAATCCTTCCTCAGATATGGATGCTGACACACTCGCTACTGATTGAGTGAATGCGCTTGTGAACCTCTTTTGTTGTGGCTCATTTACATATGCCAGGTGGGCTGTTGTTTATGAACTGTTGATCATTACCATACCTTGAAGCAGTTGTCTTTTCATATAATAATATTTCATTCGCGGCAGTAAAACTTAAACACTGATTAGTTTTGCCTTTTAGTATAGTTACAACAATGAAGATCCTTCAGATGTCTACTCAAGAGATCTATCTCTGACAGCTATTCACAGTAATAGGACTGTGGGAAGCAGGTGTTTTATGATACCTTAACAGGATTTTAGTCATATAAAGCTTACAACAAGTACTATTTGTTCTATGTATTCACTGTGGGTAGCAGGTGTTTCATTATACCCAAACAGGATTTTAGTCATATTACTTAACTCATTAAGGCCGAGAGCCGCATATGGGGCAAATTAATCAGCTCCTCACAGCGAGTGACGTGTTTATTGGGCAGGTAATTGGCAGTTTCTCACAGCGAGAGTCACATATAGTCGTCAACAGAAAGCACCTCTTATTCAGCGAGAGACACACATGTGTGTCGTACCTTTAAATATTGCACTGTACCTATTATTTCAAACAATTTAGTAGTACTGATCAAATATTAGCTTTTTCTTACAAGAGATGCTACCTTTAGTGTCAATCAGAAGAAGTATTTAAAGTGTTTTGATAGCAATTGCTAATCACTATCGTAGGCTTATACAGCATTTGGCAAATGAACACATGTCGGCGAGAAAGGGGATTATGATGTTTTCACAGAGGTAAGTGTCTGGTACTCTTCATTGGGAATGGATACTGAAATTCTTCTTATGCACATTGATTGAATTAGATGCAATGGTTTAGAGGTTACTGAAGATAATATTTTCTCAACTTCCTAATAAATAGGAAACGATATACGAAATGTCGAGGACATATAAAGAATTCAAACACAATAGAATAGTTTGAATTTACTTTTTTAGGTATTATTACGTTGTCATGTTTCATATAATGAAACAATGTATAAACACAAATAATTATACACCCAAGCTCGAATAGATTAGATATAATTTAACTTACTAATTTAAAGCTTTACTGAATTGTAACTAGTTATTGTCCATAATATCAAGTTGATAATGTTACCTAATCGAATGTAAGGTGATAAGTCGCGCCTTTGCATCGAATATATATACATGTCAGTGTTATTACAACAATGAAATCTTTTACTACGTTTGTTACAAAACACAGTAAGTTGGTAATTCAAAAGATTCTTAGACATAGACAGAAGTAATATTATAAGTTATTACATTGAAACCATACAAAGGTATTTCAAGCATTTTTGTTCAAGCTGTTACAAGTTTCATGTTGATTTGAATTGTCAGTTTTCTATGCAATTTACATGAACATTGTGTAAAACAATTGTATTTGATCTCTGTAATTATCAAGTCTGGTGTAATTATCACGTGTATCAATGAACTCAGTCTCTATTGATGCATCATCAATAAAAGCTGGATAGTATATCAGTTACGGTATCGATACACATGCGTATAATCATTCAATCAGATTACAGAAATGAGATAATTGAACACCTCTTTCGACCTTGCAAACAGCCTCCGGTAGAATGCATGTGTAGTTACGCCCTTCAGGGGTGGAAATAACCCATTGCCCGACGCCTGAGTCCAGTGTTTTTTTTCTGTCGGGCAAGCAAATTTGTATATCACACTGTACCGGTGTCCAGTTGACTTTCCAATATTATTTATGTTGTTTATTTAAAAAATCAACAAGAAAACGGCCGGTATAGTGGAAATATTATCAGGGCAAGTGATTTTACATGTGCCACTGTACCGGAGTACACTAGCAATTTTAAAGTTATTTCCACCCCTGCCCTTGTTGAAAGGTTTGTGCCCTGACAAGTGTAAAATAAACAGATGCAAAGTTATATCATTGGACAACCTGCTTTATGGAGTCACTCCCCCTCTTTGTAATGTTTATGCGTACATGCACATCTGTAATCTTATGAACCTTGTTTACATTCAGTATAAATATAGGCACGTATCAAGGTGAAGATGATATTTACATGTACAGCATACCATTATGTTTTATGTACTAGCTGTGTGCGTAAAATGTATATGAAAATATATACTATCTCTACTCAATGGTTGGATTTCAATCACTTTGTTCTATTTATCGAAAAACACTAAAATGTGTTTTCGATATCGGAGATCTATCTACTCCTATTTGTCTTATGTGTATATTTCATAGATCGTTACGATTATGTATGTTTACAATACACAAACTGTTACATGATAGCTTGAGTTGTTAAAACCGAAACCCAGCATATCGACTGGTCAACGGTATAGCCAATAATCAATCTCTATCCAGCTGTTGAGTGACCAAACGCGGTCTTCAGAAATTTCGCCCACGCCCCATCATCTGTCCCTTCCTCTGTGACATGTATCTCATGATACGATTGGTCATAGACAACAAATGATCAGCCACTATATTGAACAATTGAGATACCGCACGTTCTATTGGAGAAATTTGATGACGCCCTATCACGTGACTCTTTGTTTTATGTCTATACAAGGAATCTGTATTATACAATTTTTATATGTATGTTCGTATGATAATGTATGTCTTTGCATTAAATCTAGATGAAACAAAGTTATGAATGTCCTCTATGTTAGTCATAGACTAGCGTAATAGTACTTTCCTTGAAATATTCAGTATACACTAGAAATGTATCGGCAATAATGCTAATATCGTAGAAGATTATAAAGCATGTAAGAAAATTTCAGTATGTCATTGTCACAGATGTTTTGTCAAATTAAACCTCACACAATGATATAAGAGAAAGAATTTGTTTATGTATGTCTCATCTCTTATATACAAAGAATACATACATATGTTGATAAAATATAAATGTACGAGCGGCCAAAGGTCTACAAGAGAAACTTGCAATAAGATTACATAAAACGTTGCAATACATGATATGCTTTCTTTTAACTTGTATCTTTACAACACAATTAAACAATCAAAGCTTGTTTGTACGACTAGACAGTTTCCTGTCATCCCCGAAACCTGCCAGGGAAATCAGGTGTGATTAGCACTAATTAGTCTTGGCACAGCGAGTGGGCAATCAGCGAGGGGTTCCAGGTGTTGAGTAGTGAAGCGTCTCTCGGGCTTAATGAGTTAAGCTAATAACAGGTACTTATTGTTCTAAGTATCCACAATGTCAAAATCAAAGGTTGTTTCACACACTCAAAACTGTTAATACACATCACAGCATAAATCATACACTAGACAGATACTGCAACAAAGTCTACAAATCATCCACCACTGCACCACATCACTGCTCTACCTGTCATTATTATCCATACGGGTGAGGAGATCACGTGTAATATCTTTTTGATATTTGCAAAGTGCAATTTAGAGATTTTTGACTGAAAACTTTGAAAGTGTTCCCGAAAAAATATCGAGCTAGTCGGCATCTTGCTAAAGTCCCCACTTGCCTGAGAGTTTATTAAATGACTCACTGCAAGATGACTGACATATCCCCCTTCCAATCGAAAACAAAACTTTTGACAGGTGTGTTCCTGTGACATTGACTATATTTTGGCTGCGAACGAAAACTGCTGTCGACTCTGACTCAGACTATTTAGAGTTATTGTTCCTGACAAGGACACTGACGGGAGCCAAAACTAGGTCACTGTCCGTTTTAGCAAAATGTTGACAAACGTTCATAATTGTGTACCGTCTTCTTAAAAAAAAAAGGTTCACCATACCTGCGTTTTATTGTTCCCTTGCAGATTTTCCCTGTTTCATAAATTAACGTTAAAAAAATTTGGCAGGTTTTTGCTCAAAAATGAAACATACAACTTTATTGATGACAACTTCTTATTTATTGCATAGAGCGACGTCGCTCTATGCAATAAATAAGAAGTTGTCATCAATAAAGTTGTATGTTTCATTTTTGAGTCACCAACTTCTGGAATGCCGATCAAACAATTAAGTTTTTGCTGTTTTGTATCCAACAACAGTCGCCTACCTTCTGACACGAGTAGGTTTGATTGACACATTTGCTATCTACGACTAAATATTGAATATGTGATTGTACTCGTTGAAAATAAACTTAATCTTTAAATGGGGTGTGGTTAATAAAATCACACTCACATGAATTTGGAAACTGTTGAATTGTGTTGTTTTTCATACCGTTTTCTTCAGTAATATATTGTGGTTCATATGCAATTCCATTAGGTTTGAGTAGTTTGGTTTCAGCGCATTAATACAGATCAGCTGATTTAGTTGTGAACACTTACTTACGGCTTTGTGATCATAAATACTGGTTTCTCGGTTAAATTACAGGATGGGTAATAAATAGAATGACCCATGATGTATGAGTGATTACGGGAAATATGTACTGAGTGAAATTAATGTTCAAATCCCTCGCTAAAGCTTGGGACAGTGAACATTAATTTCACTCAGTACATATTTCCCTTAATCACTCGTACATCGTGGGTTATTCTTTAAGTATGCCCTGTCCCAAATTAGGAATCTGGTTACGGAGCAAATGATTTCAGCACTTTCGCTTGGACATACAAAAACTTTCTTTGTGTGACTTCTTTTTTGTCAAGAATTGACTTAATTTATTTAGTAAGGACAGCCCAGGATTATTGGTTTATTGAGGTTCATTCTTACCATGATACACCTGCATCTCAAAGATGTGGTCAGTCGTTATGGCCAGCATCTTGTTTCGTTCTGTTCTAAAATTATTTTTTTTAATTAAAAACATATTTCTAGATACGTATCAGAGTTCTGTATCAGAATATATTGTGGTGCACTTTGAACTTCCAATAACCATCCAATATTCAGGGAAATTTATATTTACAACAAAATAGCAATAATGTTTCACAATATGTACTGTTTTAGCAATAGGGCGGTGGGGTAGCCTAATGGTTAAAGCGTTGGCTCGTCACGCCGAAGACCCGGGTTCGAATCCCCACATGGGTACAATGAGTGAAGCCCATTTCAGGTGTCCCCTGCCATGATGTTGCTGAAATATTGCTAAAAGCGGCGTAAAACTAAACTCAGTCAGTCAGTCAGTCAGTTTTAGCAATATGATGTAATTTTAATGTGGATGATTTTGAAAAAGTTTCTCACAATCCATTGAACCCTTGTTGGCTGAGCTATACAGTTGACGTGTATAATATAGACTGTTCATACTAATCAAATATAGTCTCAAAATAAACTAGTACTGGCAGAGTAGAGACTAAAATACTCTATTTTCAAGTTTTCCAGAACTCAAATCAAAATTAAACATGCGGAAAATAGCCAGTTTATGTTTATTCCCTTTGTACCATGACCATTGCCATTCAGAATTGGTTATGGGGCAAACATTTTCCTCCTTTATATTCAAAATAGCCTTCAGAACAGTTGGTTTTGCTCCCAATTAAGAATTTATTATGTTAACCGACAAAATAAACGAGATATTGTTTACTGTTTGTCATGAGACAGTTATTTCTATTGTCTAACATAGCTGAGTAGTTGATAAGTAAGTAGCTGAAAAAATATAGTCCCAGTGTGTTTTCATTTTGTCCTGTTGCACGGGTGTCTTACATTGATCTTTTGCTTGTTCTTTTTATGTACTTTCATAATATTTATAATGATAGCCAATAAAAAAAGAAAATATTGTCAAAAGAAATGGTCCTATCATATTTCCATTTTTTCCTTTATGTGTCTTACATTGATCTTTTGCTTGTTGTCAACAAGATCTACTTTTATATTTATAATGATGGCCAATAAAAAAGTACCGGGTAAATATAGTCAAAAAGCAATAATTCCATTATCTTATCCATTAATTCATTACAATTTGCGTTTTGATGCCTGAGCATGACGTACATTGATTTTTTGCTTGTTGTTTGCGAGATGTACTTTTACTTAATAAAGATGGCCTATAACATTTCACATATCAAATCCACACCCATCTGTTATGACTTCTTTCTACCCAGTGGCACTGTTCTTTCAATTCTACAAGACTGTTTCTATTGATTATATCCATTAGAAGGCACAAAGGATATAACAAAACCTAAGGTGCAAGTGAGCAAAAGAATTCCAAATGCATGTTGTATACCTGTATCATGATACTTACCTTCGAAGAAGGTGAGGAGTTATCTGAGCTGAAGGAAGCATTTTCTGTCCTCGAGGGATGTTCGCTCACAAGATTGATCCTAAATGAATGCCTCTTGGCCTTTTCATCGTCTGTAAGACAATCTGAACTGGTCTCTGGCAGTGCCAGTTTCTCATCACTGATAACAAATACTGGGTTTACCATCCCCATCCCAGTTTTGCCACACACACGTTCATGGTACAACTCTTTCAAATTGATCTTTTCCTTTTGGTATCTTTTAGGCTTATCTTCATTGAATACTGTATCTTTGGCAAAGGTCACTGTTTTGTGCTCTGAAGATGCAAGATGTTGACTTTTATGAGTCTGATTTGAATCATCATTTGATGTTGATGAAAGGAGAATGGGTCTCAAAGGTTTTGAAAGTGGTTCTGGTAGTGGAACTTTTGGCAAATATTGAGACTCTTCTTGTTCTTCTGAATCTGACTGTATTGCAAGATCATTAATTCCCGTCCAAGCTGCCCCTGGTGTTTGACTTGGAATGGACATAAGGTCACTCAATGGACTTTCAGCATCACTCATATAGAACAGAACATTTTCTTGCACATCAGCACTAGATGGGTCATCAGTGTATGAGGACATGTGTGATATGACTGAAGACAACATAGGGAATGATGTTTGGTCTACATCCTCATACACTATCATAGAGGAGTCACTTAATCTCCTTGTGGGACTTCCACTAACTGCTGCGTCAATATCATCAGACTCTTTTCCTGAATCCACAGTTGCAATGGCTTCATCTTCAGTCATTCTCACTCTCTCCTTGTTCATTTCTTTTGACTCTGGAAATGGCTTCATTCCTCCTTCCAAGCCTTGGTATTTCACAATGTCCGCCTTTTTGTTTCTGTTTCCAGGTTATCTTTCATGGTTGGTACAGTGGTGTCAGAATAGCTGCCTAGCTTCTTATTGAGATATGAGCAAGTTCTCTTACTATGGTAGACTTGCGAACTGCTTTCAAGATCTATAAGATCAGGGTCTGAATGAACCTGGCGTTTGAGTCGTGCACGTCTGGAAGGTCTTGGGAGGCTTTCATAGACATCAATGTGAATCTGGGACTGGTTCTGCTCATCAGGATGCCTGCTAGCTGCAGAGGCACCAACTCCTGAGTAGTAGTGTTCTGGGTCATGGAAAATAGGATTTATTTTCACACCTCTAAGGCGTCTCCCAGATATGTGTCCACCAAATATTGCCTGTAACAGGTAAATCAGAATGTTACACACAAACAAAGATGTTCTTGTCAGTATATGTTGGCTTCCCTATTCTTCAAATTGTTAATGTTTCTTGATGTCAGCACATTGAGAATTTGTTTCAAAAATTTTCAAACCTGAAGTAATTTCCTGTATATATGAATAAAGTTCACACCCATTTCAAAACATATTTGCCCTATCATCTATAAATCTGGGCATTGCTGCAACTGTAACACTGAATTTGATCATCCACATTATATTTATGACAAAATGTATTTGCAAAGTGTTGTTTTGAAAGTGTGAAACAACTACTCGTGTTTCACGATATTCTGGAAACACACAAGAATTTAATGGACATTCCTAATGTGACTTGACCTTACCTGCCATCATAGACTACACTGGGAACTGTTGATGATGTAATGGCATCTGACAAAATTTAAAGTGTGCTTTGATATTAGATGAAAATCTTGTAATGGACTGATACATGGATTTTTGTACTGGCAACAACTCTGAATATTTACATTTACAAATTATCACATATGAAGGTAACCATCCTGTCCCATGCCTATGATACTTTACAACCAGTATAATGAAACTGCACATTAGCACTGATAGAAAGTGGCGCTGTTACGTTTTCTTTTACCAGTGAGTGAGGTTGTTCTGTACGTGTAAGAATGAAAATAGGATGATCAAGGTGGTTTTCTTCTAAAACTGACTGTAGTGAATATTCACAAAAGAACTAGACAGACAACAGGTAACAAAGAATACCTGCTCCGTTAGAAACTGCCAGTGCAGATTTTGTAAATGATAATAAAGTCCTTGGCATGACGAGCAAATACTTAAACCACTAGGCTACCCCACTGCCCCCAGAAATATAGTATAGCAGCATATTGTAAATATAGTGTGATGTCAAACTTCGCCATGGCTTTCATCTCATAGCATCAGTTTTCTCAACAGAGGATATGAATATATTAGGCTTGATCCATTTGTAAAACACTAACAAAAGGTTACAAAACTGAAATATTTACATGTTTCAAATAGGAAACCTCCAAAATGAAATCCCAACTGGCTTAATCTCTATTCCTCCTTGATACAACTCAGCCAATAGTGGATGGATGCAGTGAGAGTTGTGACATCAGCTGAGTCCAGTACTTACAGCAGGATGAAGAGTCAAATTTAGCCCTGATAACCACATTTGTCCACACTTTGTATCACTTTTATACTGTTCAGAATTTGTTATATAACTAAAGTACTGTCGGAAATAGAAAAAAATTGTTTTAGTTTTTTTTTCATATTTATATCTACAATTTATGTAGTTGATATGTGAAAGTGTGAAATATCTGTTAAACTAAGTTCGGCCTAACTACAGTCTCAGTGGTAGGGATATAGGAAACGTAGAAAAAGGACTTTTCTGAGGAGAGATTAGTGCAGAAATGAGCAATGCATTTTTTATGTAAGCCCAAAGCAACTTATTTGGAACAGACCATGGCTTTATGCAAATTAGTGTGCGCTGATATTGTACTACAAAGGACACTTTTTTAAATGCCCATTTTGAAATTAAACTTAGATTCATTGCTAACGATAGCTGACGTAAAAAATAATAGCTTTAATACTGAAACTAGTAAGGATGTAGCTACCATGGAGTCTCACTATTACTATAAAAAGAAACAGATAGGAGGGGTCGTCTCAAAAGCAAAACCAGGACTGGTGTCCCAGACGGCGGTTGGGGTCGGGCTGGGGGATAGAGATATCAGTTGAGATAAGATAATCCTTTAGGGGAATTAAATTGGGGAAGCAAACGGCATGTAATAACAATTTACAAATAATATCCAGTCCTGTCGATCGTTGGGTGGTAATGCTACCTATATATTTTGAGACATTTGATATGATGGCTGATTTAAGCTTTTCTATGGGTATCATCCTCTTTTACATATCTCAACATAAACGTTATGAAACAAAGACATGTAAGATGTTAATCAATAGATGAGACATATTCAACACACATGAAAAAGCATAATATATCTTTGAGATGACCACTTGTGCCTGCAGACAGCACATGCATTTCATGCCAGGTGAGTCGACGGTCCGTCGTCATACCTGGCTGAGCGGCCTAATTGCCATCTATAGTCTGATCTATTGTTTTCAGCAGCTATTCATATTTTTTCTAAGTTCTGCCCAAAACATGCTTTTCTGGATATCCTATTATGCATCCCTCTGAACGCCCAGTTAGGCCAATGTGGGTTATTTCGACATATGCTATTTGCAGTTGTGTAACTTTTAGAGATACAGAGTAACAAACTAAAACCAGTTTTTTTCTATTTCCGACAGTACTTAAATAAATCATTTAAGTTTGAAATCATAATAATGGATACAGCCTGTGCCATGTTAGTTTCTTTTAAACATGCATTGCCTGGAGAAAGCACAGTGTCCTGCCAATGTTTGGTTCTGAAGTACACTCTGCCAAAGTGTCGTCATGATGTTCTACAAGCCAGCAGTCCATGCATTATGATGTGGGAGTTATAAATGGTGACACAACATCTAATAATGTGGTTCCAAACATCAAGCTACATTGACATCAGCGGAATTAAAAAAGCATGACTTTACTATTTTCACAAAATTTCCTGTGACAGATACATTTCCAATCTTACTTTAAAAAATCTCAGATCCACAACACCACCATGTAATTATGTACATTCCGTATTTGAAATTGACTGACAGTCAGGTTGGAGAAAGAATTGCTGTGAAAGAAAATATTTTTTTGGTGGGGGAATAAAACCTGGGCCTTCAGTGTGACGAGCTACCCCACCGTCCCAAATGAAAGTCTAATATAAATTCAATACTACTGATGGATGATATGCCTAAGATGCTTCAACACCATGCGGATTCAAAGCAAAGTGCATGTGCTGCTTGATGCTTATGATTTTTACCTAAATCTCAGCGAAAATATGTTCAACATTCCACTTCAGTGTCACGTGTGATTTATCACCTTGAACAGTAAGTCGGTGTTTGTCACACTCATGTGTATGAATATGTGTTCATGTCAAAATGCCAATCATGCAAACGTCTATTTTTTCAGTGTATGACTGTAACATCTTGTTTAAGAATTAGTATTCCATGCTGCAAGTTTTCAGTGTCATTAAGAAAAATACCTGCACCTGTATGTCTCAGTTTTAATGTTTTCTTGCATTTTCTAAATAATGTTAATATTTCTGAATGATGACAGAGCCAGGAATATAAGAGTTGACACAGAATTTCTGCAGCTATTTCTTTGAATTACATCATATTATTTTGTATAAGCTTTCAGTGCAAATGAAGGCCTGTCAGAACCTGGATGTCAGAGAGTTAATTATCCTATATTTGCTTTATCTATAGAATTTGGCCAAATCTCTAAATACTTAAATTCTTTTGGTTGATTTATGAAATCAGCCAACAAGAAAAATCTGAAACACCTAAATATACCATAAAAAAGACTTTTTCACAGGCAGGTAAAATAAGAAAAACAGATGAGATTTATCACCATTGTTTGTCAACAAATGGTTTAAAATAATGCATAAATCTTTTTTCATTCTGACAAAGGGGGCAGTGGGGTAGTTAAAGCTTTTGCTTGTCACGCCGAAGGCCCGGGTTCGATTCCCCTCATGGGTACAATGTGTGAAGCCCATTAATGGTGTCCTCCGCCGTGATGTTGCTGGAATATTACTAAAAGCGGCGTAAAATCTCACTCACTCACCCATTCTGACAAAGTATCTTTTATCTTTGAAGATGATGAAGATATCTCCAGTTATCAGCCCTACTGGGATAACCCACTTGTTCAGGACCAAATACCTCAGCATGGGACTATAAATATGATCACAGTATGTGTGGATCTGTTTTCACTTATCAAATGGACTACACAAGAAACACATACAATGTGAATAAATGTGAGATATGACCAGTACAGAATACAAAACCGTGTGTTTACATCTACCATAGTTAGCCACACATCCCTATAAAACATACACATTTACCATCAAAGAACGACAATGTTTGATTACAGCTGATAAATTACCATAGGTTACATAACAATGTTATCAGTTTGAAAGACTTAAAAGAGAATATTTTCATTGATTGTAACTAGCTAAACTAGACTTGGAAACTTGTAGGTGTCATTATTTGCCATTTCCTCTGTTTCATTCCCTTTAATCCTCAGTGACCTCCACACTCAAACTGACAGGGAAGCATGGAGAAAACATGGCCTCCCTGTGGCTGTGTTTCAAGGCAGACCCTGTTTGCCAAGGTTTATCTCCATTCCTCTAATCAGTGCGGAAAAACGCTCCATGTTTAGTTTGCGAGTTGACAGAAGTGTACATGCTAGGATGGAGCATCGGTGCATGGCTATTCTACAATGTAACAATCCATTGTGAAATTTGGTGTTTATTGAATAATTTGTTTCAAATCTGCCCTTTTCACAAAAATGTTCACTACAATTAGCAATGCTGAAGCAATATGAATGAATAAGAAGTCCTATGAATTTACACATTCCATTAAGAATTTTGAAAAGGATTAATGTTAAAATTAAATATAATTGTCTGAAGTAAGAATTAGAACATGCCTTAAATCATATTTATGTTAACACCTAATCATAGTTGTATCTCAAAACTGTTTAAATCAACATGTATACTTTGCTTATTAAAACAGGCAAAATTGCTTATCAAAATGCTATGTCACTTCACAGCAACATTCAAACAACAGTGCTGTCCAGGGGGTACTGTGAATAACTGTTGCATCATTTCACCAATGTACATTAGGACAGTCACATCACACCCTAACAACATAATCACCTTTTACTACTGATGGCAACAGGAGCCAGCCAGTACATGCCCTAGCATGAAAAATGGATTCCACAATAAAAGGAAACTTGTCCAATGGTAATGAATAATAGAACAGAGATTATCCCTCCACTATCTGCCAACAAGGTTTCCTTGACAAACAGATGAATCTCATTGTCATCCTGACAA